ATTTGAGGTTAAAAAGCATCTACCGTGCCAGAGTTTAGAATGAAGTTTCGATACCATGCAGCAGTTTCATTTCTTGTTCCAGCCACTTCTCGCACGGAGAATGCAAGAGCAGACCAACGGGTGTGTTTCCACAGTGTGGAGAGACAGTGGCAGAGTTCCCCTTCTTGCCCCCTTAAGCCAGATGCCCAGCAGAACCCTCCAGGTCCTTCCTCTTTGATCGTCCATATGAAGGTTTTTCAGGAATAGGGCACCTGGAGTAGCACAGAGATGAGGGAGAGTCTCACAGGCGGAGCAGCCAGGTGGCCCCGGGTTCGAATTCTGACTGACTCACTCACTCGTTGTATGGGCCCCGGACAAGTCATTTCATCCCACTTGAGTTTCAGTTCTACTTTTCATCTGTAAAACTGGGATAGTAATAGTTACTGTGCAGAGTCACTGAGGGTTAAACCAATGAATGTAATTAAAGCGCCTGTATGTATACACGGATATAAAGCATACAGTATGTGTATATAAAGCTCAGATGTATACGAAGCATATAATGCATATAAAATATATAATGAATGTATATAAAGCTCAGGATTTCTAGTTCTCTCTCCCACCCCTTTTCATTTACTTAAACCAAAGTTCTCTTTTTTTCAGTCACCATTACCCAGGACACCGTGGGCAGACTATCGTTTTAAACATTATACAATATTTCCAGATTTTTCAAAATCATCTCTTTATCCTGCCAAAACTTCTCAGCCTAAAGTACAAAACTGTCAAAACCTTAGGCTTTCCAGCAGTCTCCTCTTTGGTAATGTTAGAGCCGATCAAGCGCGAGGCGAGGCGAGGCGAGGCGAGGGCAGAATCCCCCTTTTAGCTGAAGCACGCCGCTCCTTTTGACAGTGGACATTTGGGCCACTGCAAAAAGTTAATCTGCTTCTTGCTAGCGCGAATCCATCAACTACAAAATCCATAACCCTTCATCACAAAATGACAGCGATCATTATGCGTTTCAACCGATGCTTTTGAAGAGCTCTATTTAGTTCGTCCACCTTTCATCTCGACGTGACTCTAGAGCTCCTGGGGCCCCGGCTGTCCAAGGTGAGCGGGGACGTGCTGGGCTGTTCGGTGCCGCGCAGCAGAGCAGCGACTTGATGTGGCGTTTGCGTGGGGACGTGAGTTTCTCAGCCACTTTGAGGTCAGAAGAGAAAGTGACCTCCCAGTGTCCACGTGTCAACAGCAGAAGCCCCGAGTTAACCCAAGAGAGCCTGGCGCGGTGCACAGGGGCTGCACGCAGGGAATCCAGCAGGCCGCAGGCGGATGGAGTCAGGGAGCGGGGACCCTACTTTGCCCAGCCCCAGGAATGCCAAGAAGCCCCGTGATAACCTTTGCATTTAATCTTCTGAGCCACCTAGAGGGAGAATTGCTCACAAACACCTAAACTAATTACATTAAAAAACAACAAAAAAGGATTAGTGTGCGGGTAACCTGAAGGGTGCATCTGCAGTCTCTCTTTTGACCTCTGCAAAGATGAGCGCCACGGAAGGGACCTCACAGGTGTTAGGCGGGCACCTAAAGGGCTGTGTCTGATTGTTACTCAGTATTGACTGAAATCCTTCCCGGGCTCCAAAGGCAATGCCATACTTTGAATTTAAAAAAATTTCCTAGCTGTTCCTGAAAAGAGATGAGCAAAATCAGCACCTGACTGTTTCCAAATCACTATTTTGTTAGTGGTGGGTGAAAGCAGTTTCTGGGAGAAGACCCCCACCCCTGGGGGCTCCTGACTTCTCCGGGTCCGCAGACCCCTCCTCCTGAGTGTGCGTGTCTGCGGTAATGAGGGGCGCATTACGAAAAGCATCACTCGACATTTCGGAAGCCACATTTCCGAATAGAGCCTGATGAAAATTTTTGAGGTTGTGCAAAGTACTGCAAGAGGACCTTTAATCTAATAATTAATGCTAATTAATCACTGAACAGATCTGCTAGCATTTGGAGACGTAAACAGCCCAGGAGGCAGGAGAAGACGCCGGCCTCACGGTGGGGATGGGCTCAGGAGCCTGCCCACCAGGCCCCCCGGCCTCTCCCCCGGCACCAGCGCTGCAGGGGGCTCGTCGGCACCTCGGGCTCCCAGGGGAGCGATGCGGGAGACGGCGGCTGAATTCTAGTCACTGGCTCGCTGCTGTTCACTGAGGCTCAGGGATGGGCGTGGGTGCTCAAGGTCCTGTTTCACAGGTGTCCTCTCACCACCGTCAAGAGCATTTCTAGGCTGATTTCTATGTGTAGGGCCCTGCGATAAGCACAGGCACACGGGTGGGAAATTTTCATTGGCTGTGTACACACCAAATATCATGACGAAGAGGGAAAAAAATAAGTGGGTTTGTATACTGGTGTCAGAATTTGCCTTGTTTAGGGAAAACCTACATGTGAACAACAGAAAATGCCTCTCTATAGACGCTGTCTTCCCCCCCCCAATAAAGTTAAGAGTTTTTTTATTTTACTGTTTCCTATAAAACATTTCATATACCAAAGTGGAAAGAATTTTACAATGGATACCAGTATTCCCACCACCTAGATTCTACCATTAACATTAACTTTACTTGCTTTGTGACATCTGTCCACCTACCCATCCTACTAACCACCCATCAATATATGTTCTTGATGTATTTCAAAGTTGACCGCAGACAGCAGATAATCACGTATTTTGAAAAAGTAAAACCAAAGAGCCTTCCTGCTCCTATAAGGATAGCTAGAAATGAATGTATTCGTTTTTTAAAACAATAAACAAGCTCATTCTGAATTATGTGCACAGATATTCAACACAGTTCAATCTACAGGCACTATGTAAAGTATGGTAAGTTAGCTCAAGGTTTTAAATACTTGTATCAACCCTGTGGGCATTTTCAGTACTCATCCCAATGTTTGGTTTTGTGAAGACATAGCTGTGGATTATAGAGAAATAAGCTTTCTGCTTATTTCAGGAAAAATTACCTGGAATGTTAGCAGTAAGTATTTACTGTTTTGCTCCATACTCTAGTATTTCCCAATCATTCTTTGAGTGCAGAACTATGAAGATTTCCATGCCTCAATTCCTTATTTATAAAGTGAGCTTTATAATACAGCCTTGGCATGAGGATTAAGTGTGAAAAACAGGAAAACACTTTGCAAAGCCCTGTGCATATCTAAGTAGCATTATCGTTAGTAATCATGACGCATCCGTCATAAAACACAGCCGGGGGAACGGGCCACACTGCTGCTTGGCTCTTTCAAATCAGTCACAGAGATTCCAAAGGTTAAAGGGACGGACTATTGGCAGATGCCTCCACTCTGCCCATCAGTACGTCATCCTGTCAAGGACCTAGAAGAACGTCGGTGTCTATCACACTGACTTGTTTTCATTAGTGAAGTGTTTGCCTTGGAAACCGTCCCGGCCTTAAAACAATACTTCCATTAGCTGGGCACAGTGCGATAATTATCCATCTCATCTGACCGGTGCCCAGCTATTCTCCTGCATCCCATTCACATGGTGGTTCCAAAGGAGAGGGGGGCGCTCACTCGGGGTGGGAGAAGGGGCAGAGGGTGGTGATTTCTTTGAATAAACACCAACAGATGAACTGGGGAGAAATTCACGCATCAGAAATGGCAAGTCCGGTACCCCAAATGACAAGTCTGAAAGTGATGGAAAAACCTGTCCCCCTACGGGAAACATTCCCTCTTGAGAGTATCTTAGGCTTATATAAGGTATAAAGTAGCTTCTGGTGTCTGGTTGGGCACAAATCAAGAAAGATCAAGGTCAAAGATAACTAGGAAACCAAGGACAGACCAAACGTGCGGGGAAGTGAGGCCACCATCAATTCCCGTTGCCGAGAACCTGCCAGATCTCTGGCACTTTATTTGATGCTTAAGGAGGAACTGAACAGAAAGGTAGATTTGAAAGCACCCTTACCCTCAGAAAGCACCCACTTCACTAAGAGGTCTTTAGAGAAAACAATTAGGAGGAAGGAAAATTAGAAACCGTAAGCAGATGGAATCGGATGTGTGATAAGAGAGAAATGAGCACGGCTCATGACCTAATCACACGCTTTCTCAGCATCGAGAACGCCTGCGATGCGGGCGACCCAGCAGTGAGACGACCTCTAGGAGGATACACGTGGATAGTCACCCCACGATTCAAAGTACGCTTTTCACGCAGGAAGAGGGGGATCGGAGGAAAAGGCCGCTGTGCCTACCGGCAGGAGAGGCCTCCCCGGCCCTTGACCCCCACCCGACTGGTGCCGACAGCAAGAACAGACCTTTTATTTTTTAAATCCTCATCTGAGGACACGCTTAGAGAGAGGAAGGGGGAGAGAGAGACAGAGAGAGAGAAACATCGATCGGTTGCCTTCCAAAAGCACCCCGACGGAGGACCAAACCCACGACCCAGGTATGTGCCCTGACCGGGATTCGAACCGGCAACCTTTCGGGGCCCAGGACAGTGTTCGACTGAGCCACGCTGGCTGGGCAGGGACATGCCTCCATCATACTGATATGGCTGCATCACGCTATCATCCTCGGACGCTGCTAAAACATCCCAAACATGCAAGTAAGCACCCTAATTCGGCTCCATATTTATAAAGCAAACCCCTACCCATATTTATAATTTGGCATCCTAAGTGACGCACTTACCAGGAGAAAAGAAACTGCCCCAAAGGGTCCAGAACGTGTTTGCCCTGCTGGTGAGACTTCTCATTGCAATTACGACAGCAAACTGGGGGATGGGGGGTGAGCACACATATGTGTGTATATTATATACGAACAGACACATACTCAACATGTATTTCTAAGGGAACCACTGGAAAATCTGAATGTACAGCTGTGCAGATATCTAGATATTTGGGTGAAAGTTGGTAGCCGAATAAAATTTTTCCATACTCTAAGTCAGAACCATGTAGATGTTTTCACTGTGCCGCCTGGTGGTCTTGTTTTCTTCTGCCCAGTCAACGGGTTTGGCTTAACTGCCGACGGCCCGCCCTTCGCCTTACCTGACTGCCCAGGGGGCGGGGCGCCTGAGGATCCTCGCGGGAGGCAGAGGAACATGGTCAGGACGGCGGCTCTGTTCCCAGCACACGGTTCAACGGCTATGGGCCTGGGCGCCCCCTGAAAGAGAAAACTCACTTTCAATCGCACAATTGACACGACACCGCTATTTTACTTTCTCCTGGCTGTGCATCAGTCAGCGAAACTGGACACTCCCAGGGCTTGGGGACACACCCTGTAAAAATTTTAAATAGTTTAATTAAATATTTTATGGTAGCAGTATCTTTTTTTTTGTAGTGGTGGTCATTAACGTTTCAAAGACATTATTCTTGGGGAGTTATATATTGGTACACATTTTTGCAATTCTTGAAAAGTATTCTTTGCTTTGTTCTATTTTTACCTTTTTTTCTTTAAGAGACTTTTTTTTTTTTTGAGAAGTTTTAGGTTCTCAGCAAAATTGAGAGGGGGTGCAGAGATTTTCCATAGACCTGCGGCCCCCATGCACTCAGAGCCTCCCACCAGAGTGGTACATTGTTCCAGCGGATGAGCCTGCACTGGCACATCGCAACCACCCAGGGTCCACAACCTCCGTTAGGGTTCTCTCTTGGTGGTTTGGACAAATGTACTGACATGTACCCACATTACAGCATCATGCAGAAGAGTTTCACTGCCCCCAAAATCCTCCGTGCTCGGCCTATGCATCCCAGCCCACTCGCTCCATCCCTGGGAACTACCGATCCTTTCACTGTCTCCATAGTTTTGACATCTTTTTAGGGTAGAGGTGGTGGTTTTGGCTTTTTCACTCACAAAACTGCAGGTGAGACACGGTCGACGTATCAAAGCCATATCTATGCAAAATTAAGTAGAAGAAAACATACCACTGCTTTAATTACTAAAACAAATGGTTAGTATTTTCCACTGATGATTGAACTTTTCAGAAGACAGACAGACATGTGTGGTCATTCACCTAGAATATTTTAGGACACTACCATTTCCAGAAAGTTTAATGAAGCATTAAAGATAAAATATGTCCCCTTTCATGTAAAACTTAAGACCGAAATTTCTGGTGACAATGGTTTTATGTGGTTATAAAGAATTTCTCCTTTATGGCAACATAAATCTCATGCTTTAAAATTATCCCCATGCACATGCATTTTGGGAGTTTTCCATCGAAAGGTGAAAGTGGCCATTGTGCTAGAAGGGCATAAAAATCCTCCAAGAAAACGCTGGAAGCCATGCAGCTATACTTGTATCAAGTTACATGATTTACGGTGTTACACTTTAAAGCTTACGTTTAATTTAACAGACTTATTCTCGAAAATGTTAAGTCAAAATCAGCATAAGTACACAGACCTCTTCCAATGATGTAAATATTTAGAGAATAGGCTTGTCATATTCTGAGGCTAAAAGAAAAAGACTGCGAATTTTTTGAGCCCTGTTTCAAGGCCATTGAAATTTATTCTAATTTAATGAATGTAAAGTATATGTAAAGGTCAATTGGTTAAAATATACTAAGAGAAAATAAAATAAATTCAGGTTTAAATGATGGTGATATATTAGAAATACCCAAATCCCCTTTAATATACCTAAAGAAGAGCCTATCACTTCTACCATCAGGCAAGGTTTTCTTTGCCGTTTGGTTTTTAAGCTCTCAATGCGATGATAACTGGCAGTATCCAAATTCTCCAAAGTCATGCTAAAATAATGGATTATGAAAATTAGACGGCTTTTAGGATTACAACTAAATAAAACAAACAGGCAAAAAAAAAACAACAGTTGAGAAACAGTGGTTGTTGGCTTAGGGGATTTAGAAATAAACAATTTGAGAGCACATGGGTGGATCCTGTTGTGAGGCTACCTCCTGCTGTTTCTAAGGTTTGAAACATTAAATGCTGATGCCCAAAGCACCAGCTGAAAACAAATATTAGTAAAAAAAAATAACTGTAAATTTCAGGTGGAAAATGACTTAATTATTTAATGCTTTAAACTTCTTAGATGCGGCAACAGATGCATACAGTGTAGTGAGATACCCTGACCATGCAAAAGGAATTAGACTTGAATAAGGATCTATCTTCCTAAAATAAAATGATGCTCTCACTCTTAATTCCCCGACGAGTGTGCAGAAACCTTCAGACATTTCTTTATATTGATGAGCCATACAAAAGGAGGTTATCATTCTATTTGAAAATCAAATTGGCTTACAAGCTTGTCTATTTTTGGCTCTAAAATGTTCATAGAAGGATAATAGCAAAAAATATGAATTATTCATTATATTTAAAATATCAGTGACTAGCACAGCTCTTTGACACTTCTGGCAGGAATTCTCATAATTAAGAAAATTATTTCCAAAGACTCTGTGGCAAAGCTCACTTTCAATAAAGATTTTTAAATAAAAAAGGGAAAAAAACCTCCACGTTATGTCATCTGAATTTTGCAACAGAAAACAGCAAAACCCCGCGAATGATACCTCTGATACCTTGAGGTTTGTCAGTTGTTGCATGATAAATACATAACCATGAATCACACTCATTCCACGATGACATAACGTGTTTACTGAAGAGTGCGGTTTATCACGCATTTTCCACGGCTGCCTCTGGAAGAGATAAGGCCTCGGGTTTGCCCACAGCACTCAGCAACTGTGATTTACTTCTAGGCATTTTCTTACTTGTTGTATGGCAGGAAGCCGGAGTTAGGCCCGCCAGGAAACATCACTGACAGTTATGTAATTAGCAGTCATTGTTTATAAAGTGGGCAGCACTTTCACAAAATTTACAGAAGATTCATTTTATTCACTCTACTGTGTGTTTTTTTTTTCCCCTCACCCGAGGATATTTTTTCCATTAAGTTTTAGACAGAGTGGAAGGGAGGGATGG